ATATATATATATATATATATATATATATATCAGATATATTTGTTTTAAAGCACGTCGCAAGTACAAAGAAAATCAATTTCATTTTTTCGCCGTCTCGCCAAAAAAACCGCATGTTGTCTTTGTTGATAAGCAATATATATTTATGTGAATAAACATACATACATATTTGTTTTATATATATAGAACTTATTTTTTTACCGTTTAACAGAAGAAGCACGCGTTACTTCCAATATTATACACTATACATATATAAACGTGTATATATATATACGTCAAAGTGTTTTAGGAATCTCATTATTCCATCAAAAAGCGACATTTCAATAACCTGGAATCTCCACTCCCTCTCTCAAAAAAAGCTTGACCTTCAGCGCAAACTTATGGCGACTTCCGTAATTTCACGTATTCGACTTCCCTTTAAGAGGCGAAACTTTATCTGTTAAAAAAATTTTGTCTAAAATACCTTATCATATTCAAAGTACAGAGTTACTATCAAAATAACTAAAAAGCATTTAAAATTAAATCAACATATGCAAATTGTTTTGTGATGCCACTAAAGTGACAATGAATCTGGGGTCTGTGAAACGATCAATAGTGCATAAAACAAACTCGTAGTTATGGCTGCTCCTAGCGTATCTATTAATGAAAGTGTCTATGACTGCAAGCACCTGTTGGATAATTTGACATCATAAACACTAGATTTTCGTAAGCCAGAACATACATCTAGATGATTACTCTGCCTCCTCCGATTAAAACCCTTTAGACAATTGCAGTGATCGTATTTGATTCACGTACCACCACTTTCAAAAGTATTAGCTGAGCAATAGATCGTGCTTCCTTTCCGTTTCGCTTTTGAACCGTTTTTGCCAGACAGAGTCAATGAACTTTTTTTTCAATGTCTTGAGAAGCTGATCATTTTCTCCCGTCTTACTCCCGCTACCCCTCCCTAACAATACTGATGTTTTTTGAGTGTCTTTTGAATGAAATTTAGTATTACAATCGACTTTCAGCTGTGCTGAGAACTTTATCTTCGAGTTTTTTGCTTTCTATCGTTACCTAAAGAACTACAGATGGACTAGAACTGTTCACGCAAAAATTTTTTGGGAAACCCGGACATTACTGAAGGTTAAACCAATGAGAAGTGCTCGTTTGACCAACTTCCTGCCTAACTTAATAACAATATAGTTCAACTACAGTTCCAAAAGAATCACTTACAGTGAACAACTGGATAAATAAGAACCTAATTTTTCAAAAAAAAAAAAAAAAAAAAAA